TCAAATCTTTTCTCCCAAGTAAAAAAAACAAAGAAACAAACACACAAAGCAAATTTATATACACTTAAATGAAATTTACTAAATTTGTGTTCTCAATCGTTAAAATTTGCTTAATATAAATATTGTGTGCTACCGTGCTTTTTCTTCTTCCCCTCTCGCTTTACTACCCATTGAAACAGGGGCGAGTGTTGCAAGTGTAACACCCTCTCATTTTTTGGTAAATTCTGTTTTGTTCAATAATAAGTAGTATTAGAGTGCACTTAGAAGAGAGTATAAAGGATTTCTGAAAAAATATTGGTGTAGGACTTCTCACTTAAGCGAGAGATATTTTAGGATTGGGCGTTCTGGAGCAATCTTGCTCAAGCAAGGTAAGCCTCACTTAAGCGAGAAAGGATAGGGTCACTTCAACTGTTCTCTCACTCAGGCGAGAAGGAAAGTTCGCCTAAGCGGGGAGTAGCTCGCCCAAGCAAGATAGAACTCGCTCAGGCAAGGTGTCGCAGAGAAATCTAGAACTCTCTGGACCCGTCCTCGCTCAAGCAAGAATATTAGAAAAACCATTGTCTGATTAGTTTGCTCAAGCGAGGAAGAGCTCGCTCAAGTGAGGTGTACTCGCTTAAGCGAGAGCCCACTAGGTTAAGCGAGATCGCGTGGGTTTGAAGGGTATTTAAGAACTTCTACGTTGAAAAATTTCATTTCTCAACAAAACCACTTCTCTTTCTCTGATATCTCTCTGTTCTCTCCTTTTCCCATCCTAGAGAAAACCCTTAATACTTCTAGATCTCTGCTAAATCGAAGTTCTATCGTCCGTTCTTCTCAAATATGAGTAAGTTTTCGAAGCCAAACCTTTGAATCTAGTTTCTATTTCTGAGTTTTTCTCCTTCTGATAGTAATCTATTTTGTGACGTTAGAAAGAACTCTAGTTCTCGAGAAGTTTCATCGATTGAAGCATGGAGTTTCTCTTAGAGCTCACGAAGAACTTAGTGTTCAGACTCATTTCTAGGTAAGGGGAGTATCCTCGAACTTTAGTCTTATTTTTATATGTAATAACTCCATAAGAATCTGAGTAACCTATTTTGGTAATAATCTATGAGATTTTCATGAAAACATATGGTAAAAGTATATTTTTGGTATAAAGAAAAGTATTAGGTTTGTTTGTAAGTAAATGAGTTAAGTGATGAAAGATAGAGAATACTGAACTCTATGTTAGAAGATCCTATTGGAACTGAGAAAATATGACATTTAGTTAAGTATTATGAGACTGCACAATTTGGGCCGAGTCTGAGGGTGTCCGACCCCTAACATATTTTGTGATAAGGTGTTACTATTTTATCAATGTTTTGCTGAAATATTATGAATATACTGATTGTGTGAAATTATTGTTAATGTGTTATTGTATGTAAATGTACCGAATTGTATGATGATGTGATATAGTTTGAATTGATATACCGAAATAAAAGAATTTGAGGATTATATGAATGTAATGAAGTTTAGGGAATATTAAGAAGAAGAGATGTATTAATGTATGAATCATAATTTGGTTGATATAAATATGAATTACAGAATATGTTTTGATGGATTTAATAATGAAAAAAAGGAATGAAAATGATAACAGTGAACAGAAGTGTATGAAGTTGATTTCTAGAAGTTATGTGATATGAAAAGTAATGATATATGTGATGGATGGAAAATGAAATACTAGTATTACAAATATACTGATTGATGCGGTTATGATATTTGAGTTATAGTACATCAACGGGTGAGATTATAACTCATATGTTGTTATACATCGATTAGTGTAGTTGTTACATATGTATTATAATAGTATAATGTAATGTGTCATGGTTGAGATATGGTATGGATAGTTCAGGGATACATTGGGGGTATAGGGTCTGGAGTTGATTGTGTAAATCTAGCGGAAATGAAAGTGGTAAATGCAGTTCACTGATATGTACACATGTAAAATTGGAAAGCATTTACAGGCCTCACGCTCATTTCTTGACCGACTCCTAACTATACTTTTGTTTGGAAGGCTGTGAATGCACATGTTGTATCCGTGTGTGATTTAGCTCACCAACAACTATTTATGTTGCGTAAGTCCTTCGTAACTAGAGAGAGAATATGTTAGTAGCGATTAAGGGGCCCGAGAGTACTTAGAATACCATTGATTAGATGAAATATTCGGATGAAAATGAATAAAGTGGAAAATGTTATGAATTGAATGATGATATCTGGTTAAGTGTAAAGTAATGTGGCATGAAATTATGAATCAGATGATATTTGGTTAAGTATAAAGTGATATATTTTCATGTCTTATGATTGTATGATTAATTAAGAAATTAAGTTTGGAAAGAAATAGATGTGAATAGATTAATTATTTTCAAAAATAAAAGAAGTCATGCTACATGTATATGCTAGATGATGTAGGGAATGTGTAGACTTTGAATATAAACTAATAAATAATTTGGAATCAATATGATAAATTGGAAAGAATTAAATAATTAAATTACAATATTAAATAAGAATAAATAGATATTAATTAGTCAAACAATGAATGAATAAGAAAAAGAAATGGAATGTGCCTGACTTATTGTATGCAACTTTGAAAATATTATATCTATTATTTCTTTTATGTTATAAATTAAGATTTAGTAGATAAGAGATGCTCACCTTTACAACTATTTTTCAGGTAAAGAATATATGTCGTTCTAAAGTCATACCCGCAATGAGTGATAAGAAGGGGATTACTCTAAAGAGTTTAATTTATTTAATGAAGACTTGTAATGATATTAGTGAATATTCTTTATTCAAAGTCAATTACCTTATGTAATTATATTGATGAAAGTTTTAATTTGAAAAAAATTATTAATATGATAGTTTAAATTTTTAAAATTTTTAATTTGAAAATCTTGAATATATATATATATATATATATATGAGGATTAAATTTTTTACCTTTTCTTTAAATTAGAATCTAAGTACTTAGAAACATTTTCTATATTTATCTATCTTTTAACTGTTTTAATAAAATAATTTATGACATGTTCATATTTTTATAAAAATAAATAAATTAATAAGAGAAGGTTGTTTTAATAGAAAAAAAAATGGTTGCCTAAAAAGTTGTTTGAAAGGAAGTTTTTGGAAGTAAAAAAAGAAAAGCAAATATTTTTTAATTTTAAATTAAAAAATTATATATTATTTGTAATGGTAAATACGTTATTAATATATTAAGTTTTGTTAATATATTAATTTATATATTTTAGTTTTTAAAATATTATTTTAAGCTATTTGCTCCGAAACCTCTCTTTCTAAACAACTACTAAAGGAATCGAGCAGCGAGACAAACCTAAGGATCAAATCGTGGAAGCTTTTGCAGACATGGTGATCATAAGAGACATAGGAAGTGTAGTAGGGAGCATTTTTGTGAATTCAGAAACTGCTTCTTGTTGTAGTGTTTAAAGCTACTTCAATTTTCCTAAGTTCCAATGCATCATTAAAATCTTCTTCAGTTACGGAAGATTTTCGGGGATACATTGAACCTTTCCTTTCCTTTTGAGTAATAATGTTTTATGCATAGCAGGGGAATTCATATTATATTATTAGAAATGTGTACCATAAAAGGAAAATACGAAACATAACAATTTGTTAATTTGTTTGACACAATTTCAAAAAAATTGAGAGGAATAAGAAAAAATTTTAACTATCATTTTTAATAAGTGATGCCTTCGATTTTTTTATAGAAAGACTTATTGTAAGATATCTTTAATTTATAAAATAGTAAAAAAATTAAAATATAAATATTATCTTTCAAAATTTATATAACAGATAATTTTGCTAACTTTTAAATAAATTATGACATGTTAATTCACATTAGTTTTATAAAAATTGATTTTAGTAAATAAAAGTAAAAGATCAATAACTAATGTGAATTAGTTCAATAATTCATAAATAAGTTAGTAAAATAAAATGTTATAATAAAATTTAAAAGTTATAATATTTATATTTTAATTATTTAAATATTTTTTAAGTTAAAAATTTTAAAATATTATATATTTAAACATGTTATTTGAAGTATTTTTTTAAAGGTAAATTTTATTTAAAAATTTAATTGTAAACATTTTAGTTTGAACTTATAAAGTGGATATAAAAATCTTAATCTTTAATTTAATTTTAAATATATTTAATAACTAAAATATCTTGATGTACTCATACATTAATAATACTAACTCATGCAAAGTTATGATAATTAATTTTTTGTATTAATATTTTATAACTTTTTGAAAAAAAAATAAGGCAGTTTTTTAAAAAAATTTGAGTTAAAACAATTCATAAAGCAAATTTTCTTAATTAGTAAAAGTATTGAACTTAAACTTTTTTATATGATTTAAGGAATTATTGGTTCCAAACTTTAAAAAGGATAATATTGACTAATAACTATTTGAACGAAATAAAATATGTAATAAATAAATTTAACAAATAATTTTTAGATATTATATATATATATATATATATATATATATAAAAGAAAGGATTTTTTATTAAATTTAAAATTTTTTATTTTTGATTAAATTTTTATTTATTTTACATTTAATAATTAATAAAATAATAAATTATAATTCATTAAATGTAAGTTAAATAAAATATTTAATCATAAAATATTTTGATTTACACTAATTTTAAAAAAATTATAAATAAAAATATATATTAAAGAAAAAATAAATTTCTCACCCCTAATTTTTTTTCTGCAAACCAATAAACATTATTTTTGAATCTTTTAACAGCATATTTCTTTAATATTATGAATGAAAACGGTGCCGTCTCTGTGTCGGTTGCCTCGTTGTATTGACGTCGGTGGTTTCAGCAGAATCAATGATCGCCACGACCCCAGCTCAGACACATGTCGACCTAACTTAATTGAAGCAATTACGTGTATGCACACCGCTATTTCTATTTGGGAATTACGATTCATTAAAATAATAAAAAACGAAATCTCTGTTTCTTCTTCATTCTCTTTTTTTAAATTTCTCTCTCCGCACTGTATCTCACACTACACACCAGATCAGACTCACTTCTCTTCTCAGCAAATCGGAGCCTGAGCGATGAAGACGATGCAGAAGCAGCCACCACCACACAGATAGGAAAATAAAAATCCCAATTTTCACATCAAAATCGAACGAATTCGACTCAATAAAAATCCTAGAAATGAAGGATGAGGACACACTCCCAATCACAAAAAAGGAACCTACAGATTCTGTTATATTGGGAAAAGGCAAGTACAAGTTCTGGGCACTTGGTGCCATATTGCTCCTCGCATTGTGGTCCATGTTCACCGGCACTGTCTCTCTTCGTTGGTCGGGTCCTCTCAACACGTTCTCCCACGACCTCCACGCGCCCATCCACGACGACCTCGATGTCCTTGTCAGTTTCCCCTTTTGTCCTTTTTTTCCTTTTGCAATTGCATGTGTCTAGTATTGTGAACATTTTAATGTGAAGTGCAGGAAATAGAGGAGAGAGAGAAGGTGGTGAGACACATGTGGGACGTGTACACCAATAACCGTAGGATCAGGTTACCGCGGTTCTGGCAAGAGGCCTTCGAGGCTGCCTATGAAGATTTGACGAGAGACGTGGCGGAGATTAGAGACGCTGCCATTGCTGAGATCGCTAAGATGTCTGTTCGCTCCTTTGATTTTCAATCGCCTCCTGTCGCACATTCTACGGTTATTACTTTTCCTTTTTCTTATTAAAATTGCCACTTTACTCTACCATGCAAATATTAAATTGGATTTCTTTATTATTAGTTAATATTTACAAATCACAATTGGATGATCTGTTCAATTTTGATGATCATATGATGCTTTATTTTATAGCTTTATCTCAGAAAACGAGTTGGTCTAAGCTTGTTTGTTTACAGAGTAATGGGAATACAATGTGACTCTGTACAGTGTTTATAAGTCCAAAAAAAAAAAAAAAAACTCTCTAGCACTATAAATTAAAGTTTATTGAAAGTCATAAAAAAATGTGAGAATCATTCCTAATTTAATGGACAATTTTTTTAAGACAATAAGAATCTGTGTATAGCAAACTGTTATTAAAAATCACATGATATCATAAAATTCAATGTATTGATAAGCATTAAATGTTATAATTTATAATAAAAATCTATTGTTTATTAATTTTTTATTGTGTACTCTCGAACATCAACAACAAAAACAATCAGGTCTTATCTTTGTGTACCCTGGACTGGAGCACTTGCTATGCTAGTAAAACTGTCTAATGAATTCCACTCATGTTTTATAAATTTAAGTTAATAAATGACAATGTGATGGAGAGTGCTCAAAACACTTCTCGTTTTGGATATGATAAGAAACCTTATTTTAGGCCTGACTACCATTTGAATACGCACATCAAGTAGATAGACTTTTTGTTATCAATTTCATACAGATCTGTGTTTGGGAGATAATTCTTTAACATCATCCTTGCTAAAGAAGTTTTTCTAGCTATATGTTTTTGACTTATCGTTAGCAATCTAAAAGACGTGACCAATTTGCAAAGTAAAGTAGAGCTTCTGCTTTCATGTGGATCAGATATGAGTGCCGAAAGTGAGGGTATTATAAAGTAGTGTGCTTTGTATGAGTTGTTTAGGTATTGTGAAAATTAGTTATTATTTTCACCATTTTCCTCTTAAGGAATTATATTGATCATTGACTGCCTAATAATATTTATTGTTTCCATTTTTATCTTCAAAATGACCACACTAATTGTTCTTTTGTTATCCACGTAGCTTTTAAGGTTTTATGTGAGAATAGTTAACCTATATCGATGAAATTTGTTGAGTAGTCCATCTTTATGAATTGAGATGGATCCTTTTGAGAAACCTTTCTTCAATTAGATGTTTGGCAGCCTTTGTACCCTGTTAGTGAAGATAAGTTTCAAGGGCTTTTTTCCCCTTTTGGCTTGATTGCATATTGTGTTGTGTCTCACAAAAATTCAATTTTGATTTGCTTTGTTTCTATTCAATTACTTTTCCCTTTGTTTTCCAAACAACGCAAATTAAGTCACTCTATGTAGCCCTACTATTTTAACAAAGGTATTTGCTATGCTGGCAAAATTGGCTGATGCAGCAATATTTCTGTTGATGTCAGCTTTATTTTGTCTCACTTGATACCAAGTGTAGTGACATGGAGATGGAATGGCAACAACTGCATGTCAGCAACAAGTAGATCCATCTTAACAGTGAAAAGATGGGGGATTTAAATCGCATCAATTTGAAATTGAAATCAGAACTTGGAGGCCACAATAAAACATTTAAGAAATTAAAGGTGACAAAAGTGTGGGCCTTCCCTTTTTGCCCTTTCTTGATGCCCTTAACTTACCTACTCTTGTAAGGGTTGAATTGCATTGCAAAGAAAATTAATGATTGGTTTTTGAGCCTAATATATCCCATTCTGTATGGTTGAAGGAAGCAAAATTTGCTGGCATGTGGATTGTTAAATTGTGTGATCCAATTAAGATAATGAGGAATGGAGTGGTTAGGAGAACAGACTGTTTGAAGAGAAATTAAAAAGAGAAAGGATATTGATAATTGTTGAGAATGAATTTCTTGTCATTGGGTGGCTAGTTTATGAATTTGACCTTGTTGAAGAATACTTTTGTCAATTTCTGTTATTGCTGGTTGAAGGGGAGTCATGACACAATGGCTAGAGTTTCTGTAATTTGACAAGGTCACAGGTTCAAATTGTGGAATCAACCTCTTGAAAATGTAGAATAAAACTGTTTAAACCCATAATGGATCTGACCCTTCCCTGAACCCCAACATGGTGGGAGTTTTAGAGCACCAGCTTACCTTTTTCTTTTCTTTTTTTTTTCTTTCACATCATTACTGGTTAATTTGAGTACTATATCCTGACTCTCAAAGTTGAAAACATTTATGGAAAGCAGACAATTAATTGTAATTGTAAATTAGATAGTCTGCATGATGATGGGGATAATGTAATGTGAATTAACTGTTCTTCCTTGTCTGAATTTGTTGAGGACATTCAACATTAGAGTATCGTTTCACAATTTTCTTCTAGATAAGAAAATATAGAGCTGATAGTTCTGAACTTGTTTGTGTACACAATATGGGGATTATAAACACTCAGAAGTTTGGGCATGGCTTATGAATAGGATATAAAATCACTGGTAAGTTTTAATGTTCTTGGTAAGTTGGTTTATGTTTTTCTCTCTTTGATTACACTTTGGGTGGCAAGGAAAGGTATTTGATATTGAAGATTTCTGAACCTGTTTGTGTTTGTCAAGATCTTGTGAAGAGAATACTGAAAACAGGATTTTGTTATGATTAGACATTTTATTAACAAAATTCAACTCGTTTCCAGTTCCACCATTTCTTAAACAAAATCACAAAAGCAGCAAAAGAATGAATATAACATAGCATTTTAGTAATCAATAAAAGTTTATAAATTGAAAATGAAAACAAAAAACAAACCGAGCACCCTTGTCTTGACCAGTTTTTTCAACTTTTCAGAAGTTGGGGCATAGGACTAGACATTGTTATTTATTGATGCTTTCTACCCAGATAGTTTCTCAGCTTCTTAGTGCGGGGATTATGGTCTTCTGATTTTGTTATGTACCATTTCAGAGAGCAAGGGAACTTAGTAAGAGCTTCAGGCAAGTTGAGAAAGGCTAAGAGCAATCTTCAATCGTGCTTAAATATTAGAATGTGGAGCAACCAAGGGTTTTATTTACTTCAATAGTTTATGAAGTGGTAGTGCCAGGGGAAGCCATACTCCGATTATCATGCTTTCATAACAGGGAAGACTGTGTATCTTATTAGGTTGTGATTCTTTCAAATTTTGCAGTAAAATTCATAATCTTCTCAATGTGAGGGATAGTAAATTGGTACGTGAAAAATCAACTTGAGACCATATTTCAGGTTTATTTTATTTCATAAAAATTCTCATAAAAGCAAGTTCTAAATCTACAAAGTTTTTGTCGAGACCGTGTACTTTCTTCTCAACAGAGTAAATCCCAGTACAGCAGCAGGGTAGAAATGGAATGAGCTGTTTGAATCTTCCTAATTCATGTCAGTCATACGAAAACAATATTTCCGTTTTTATTGATAAACGAAAGTATTTTTAGGAATTATTCATTTCTTTGTTGAGTCCTGAAGTTTATGACATATGTGCATTTAATTTTATTTATATTTATAAATATATAAATATTATTATATTTTTTTATTTGATTTAATTTCAAATCTTTTAATGGTATATTTGATTAAAAATATATTTTTTTAGATTAATTAAAATTTAAATTTGTTGTTGTAACCTTCCAAAAAAAATCAAATTTAAATAGTTTTGTTTTAAATAAAACTTAAAGTTGTATCGTATCAATAAAGATGATGTCATTTGTTTTCATTTTTTTCAATTTTAATAGTGTTTTCGTTTAATTTATTATTATTTAATATAATAAAATGAATTTGAATGTAATAAAATTTTTATATATTTACTTTTATATATAATATAATTTGAGAATTGATTCTTAAATGAAAGTAGTTGTTAAAATATTTTTAAACGAGAACGTTTTTATAACTATTGTCAAAGTGTTTTTATTAGGGATTAGTTTTTTTCTCTCATTATGCCAAGCTATTTTTTATATTTATTTTCATTTAAATTTAGTTGTATTTTTTATTTTAATTTAATTTTAGTCCTAATTTTAATTGTTAACATTTAGTTCGTTCGATCAAGTCATTTATGGATGTGTTATATTATTGACTTGTACAAATTAGTATAAAAATATTTAAAAATTTTAAATAAAATATAATTAAATATTTTAGTTTTTATTTAATTATTTTACATAATCTTTTCTTTGCAAACTTGTATAAATGAATGATACACTATATTTTTGTTAGATATTTATTAACTATTAAATTTGTATAAATCAAATGATAGGAAGTTATTTTATCTTAACATGATCTTAAATTCAAGTGATAGTGAAAACACAATAGAATAATTAAAATTATAAAAATCAAAATCATATATATAGCAACTAAAAATGTAATAAAGTACATTAGTTTGTGTTTGTATTTTGAATAGATATAATTTTTTTTTATAATTACTTTCGTTGCATATGTTGTTACGAATAGTTAAATTTATAGTTATTATAGTAGATTTTTTTGTACATTTCATATAATTTTTATATTTAATGATAATTATAGTTTTTTTTTAAGATTAGTTTTGCTTTAGTGTGTTCATATTTATATGTTTGAAATTTATTACTTTTAACAAATTATAATTGATTGCATTGTAATTAATAAAACTCTAAGATAAAACAAAATAAAGGATTAATTAGATGAAACATAATTTTTTTATTACAATTATTAAATTAACAAATTTATAGGTTGTTTATGCTTTCTCTATCTTTTTACCTTGTATGACCATTGAGAGTAATAGTTTAAGGTAAAAGATGATAATCTTGCATGACCATTATGTGTTAATAGTGTTAATATGAATGATTTGTAATCATAGTGGGATTTAGATTAAACTAAAAATAAATATAAAAAGGTATAAAGGTGAAACCAAAAGCCTTTAAGAGTCATCTTGAATAGTTTTTGTTTTAGAAATTGTGTTATTTTCTTGATCTTTTAATTATCTTCCTATTTAACCTTTCCACACTTTTATTTTAGTTTATTTTGAAATATTTAGGTTCAAACAATTAAATCATGATATTATTAGTAATTGAAAATAATTTATATAGATGATATAATGATAACTTAATTTGAAAACTTCTTTATTATTTTTTGACAAATGCATTTGCCTACGAGCATATGTGTACATCTTTTTCTTATTCATTACATGGAATGATATTTAACTCGAAGGCTTTCAACTAATGTGGAGTCTTAGACAGGGAATCCTCTTTCCCTTTACTTTTTTGTTTTTTACATGGACAAATTTTCTTTATTGATAATGAGATCTTCTTTCTTTATAAAAGAATATTAGTTTATTCAAAAATGACCCTAATATCACTTATTTTTTATGTTGTGCCATGTCTTTCTTTCTCAATATTTTAAATAATTATATTTTGGTATAGATAAGTAAGCAGCCCCTAAAAATTGTTGGAATTAATCCTTCTAATTTTTTTAGTAGGTTTTAGTCTTACAAAATTTTACTTTTTAAAAAATAGTCCTCACCATTACCTGAAAGTTGTCAAGTAATATTTCACATGATACTTGTCACATGAAATGCTAGCTTCAAATATGACAAAGTTCAAATAACTAATTAGTCCTTAAAAAATACACATTTTTAAAATTAATTTCTATTAATATTTTATTGTTATTGTCCTATAAAATTTTAATTTTTTTTAAATAAACCCTATCATTATCTCCTGAATATGTTTTAAATTTAAGCAGCATCCTACACCCCCATCTTCTCCTTAGAATACTTGTTGAGATAATGTTATTTGATGTCAATATGTCAATTTTTTATAAGAATATCCAAAATGGGAGGTAGAAGTTGTATTGCAAGAGGTAAGAAGACTTATTCTATTATACTCCATTAAATTCATATTTTTATTTTTTTTATCGATTAAGATAATATAAAATGTTATTCATGTAGCTTCAACGAACTCGAGAGGAGAGTAAATTAAATTTATAAACTTTTTCTTAGATTTCACAATCTAAATTCTTTTCTACAATATTTAAGGATTTAACTCAAAAGCTTAACTTAGTAGATGAATATGCAAGAGATATGAGAGTCTATTAATATATAAGAACAAAATATTAATTAAATAAATTTGTAATAAATTTAGAGAGATAAGGAAAAAAAATTGCAAACTTGATTTATACCGGTTCGATCACCCACTGTGTTTACAATCAAAGAGTCCTTTTATACCAAAAAAGAGTCCAACAATATCAATTTTCTTAAGCAACCCACTTGAGAGTTCTACTATTTATTTTAATCTTTACAATCAAAGAGTCCTTTTACACCTTGGAATCTCTGATCCTTGTGTTTTAGTCTTTCAAGATTTTAAGAGATACCCCACTCTTGCTTTTTTATAAGGGATTCTTCACCTTTTTCACAACTTTGATAATAGTACAAGAAATTACTCTTTGAATAGAGCAAATAATACAACTTGAAGTCCTACAAGGTTTTCTCAAGAATAAAAGAATTTGGCCAAGATTTAAACAAGATGATTGATGAATGAGAATGATTGTTCAATTAATCTTTTCAATGCATTTTTCTTATTTTTAAAAATGTTAAGGAATGTTATATATATATATATATATATATATATATATATATATATATATATAGACACACACACACATAGAACAATTCATATGAATCGTTAAAGATTAATCTAAAAGGATACATCTCTTCAAAACATACATTTTTGCATATTTTGGTCCTGGTAATCGATTACATAGTTCAAAATTTTGAAAACTGTCGATGGTTTAGTAATTAATTACATGAATGTATAATCGATTGTATAGATGAGATTTTAAACTCTAGTAATTGATTAACAGTGAATCCACATTTTGTTAATATTTTACTTATCTTTTTAATATATTTTTAATATAAAAATAAAGTTAGAAAATGTAAATAACATAAAAATATCAATTTTGTTATTAATTTCAATTTTCATAATTTACTTTAATTAACATGAGTTTTATAACTATTTTCTTGTAATTTTGCTAATTAGAATAATTGTGCAGAAATTTTTGAGCAATAATCTATGTAATTTAAGCCTTAAGAGAAAACTGTGTGGAAGTAATCACTTCCAACATCCAAAGTAACTACTCCAACAAGCATCCTCCAAAGGCCAAGTTGAAGTAATCACTTCCAACATTTATAGTGAACACTCCAAAGCCATTTCAAAAAGGTGAGACTATGCGTAATCACTTTTATCATTCATAGTGATTACGCGCAAGCCTATTTTGTTGATAGAGTTGCACATGTTTACTCCTAGCGTTCGTAATAATCACTGCAATTAGGACAACACTACAGGAGGTTTTTTGCGTAATTACTTTCATTATTCAAAGTGATTACTCCAGGAGAGTGTTAACTTTACTATAAATAGATTTTCAATTAGAAGAGAACAAGTTTTCTGTGTAATTACTTTTACCATTCAAAGTAATTACTCCAGGAGGACGTTAACTTTATTATAAATAGATTTTCAATTAGAAAAGAGGGACCTTTTTCCCATTTCTTGTAATTTTTCTTTTCCCTACTTTTATAAGATTAGGGTAGTAGTTTTGGGCGGGTGCCCAAGAACTCCATTTTAGGTAGGGTTTTCATTTATTTTCCTTTTTTTATTCTGTTTTTCTGGTTTTCTAAATATCAAATGCTTGTAATGTTGGATTCTATCTTTATGGAAGGCTAAATTTTGAGGATTAATTCCTAGTATAGTTCACAATAATTCTTGAAGTTTGGGTTTGATTGTTAATACGAATTTTCTTTTACACAGACTTTATTTTTTCTAATCTCTTAAAATCTAAGTTAGAATTTGAACAAGAGTTATTTGCTTAATTCAATCCAAGTTCTTTTCGTAACAAGGGATTTATAGTTCAATTTGCTCAATTCTAAATTAGGTTTTAGATTTGTTTAATTCTAAGGATCAAAGATTAGAGTTCATGTAATTTGCTTAATCTTACATGAGAATCCAAGAATTAATTAATGGTTGTTCTAATTAATTCAAGTTTGTAAGGGAATTAGTATTTATTTCTTGGTTAACTAATGATTGAACCAATTGTGGATGAATTAAGGATTAATCTAATTTGTTGATTGAGTTTCTTAATTTCGTATTTCTATTTTGAATGATTAATGACTTTAAATCGCAACCAAACATCCTCTGCTTTTTGAATATAATGCACACTATATATTTGATATTTGGTCACTCATCCAATGATTCACAAGAGATGACCTAGGTTAACTTAGCCTAGTACACATTTAATTCACTTATATTTTACTAAAGCCCAACGACAGTCTTTTCATCAATTACATGAATGTGTAATGGATTACATATATGA